AGAGAAGGAAGGAGGGAGAGAAGGAAGGAGGGAGGGAGGGAGGAAGGAAGGAAGGAAGGGAGGAGGGAGGTATGGGACTTTTTACTATTTCTATGTAGTTTGATTTTTACCAGAAGCATGTATTTGGGTTCTTAAAAACATTAAAGTCTTGAAAAAAAACAAAACAAAAACCAGAGGGAAAAGTGTGTTAAAATGATCACCATGCTGGTGCAGGGTTCAGGGTCACTTTTCAAAGAGCTGTGACATCCAGGATTTTGTCTAACTCTTGCTACACCCCCTTGAGGGCAAGCATTCAAAACCCCTTTTACAGATTAAGAAACTGGACCCGGAGAGGTGAAACAAGCTGTTCAAGGTCACATGCAGGGCCGAGGGGCCCCTGGACCTTGGACCCAAGCCCAGCACTCTTTATAACCTGTACGCGTGGGAGCGCACCGCGGTGCGGGCCAGCGGGGCGGGGGCCTGGGGTGGGGAAGCGGAAGGCTGGGGACAGGCACGGAAGCAGCCTGTCGTCCAGCTCACAGAGCCTCTGAAAAGCCCCTTCAGCGAGGGGAAAGGGGCCTCAGTCAGGGGAGAAGGGGGTGGAAGATGAGTGTGAAAGGAGGGCTGATGCAGCGCCGCCCACGACAAAATCAGACGTCATGACGTGCCACCCACTGAGTGGGAGGGACCCGACGCGTCACCCGGCAAATGACACGTGGGAAGTAGCCTCGCAGGGCCACGTCCCTGGAGCCTGAGATTTCACGCCTCTCTCACAGGGGCTGCTCACCGGAGGCTCTGGCTGCGCTTTTTGCAGCCGAGTGGTTCCGGGAATGCCTCTCCACTCAGTTCCCAGAGCTCTCTGTAACCAGGGCAGAAAGGGAAGTGTGCTTCTCAGAGGGTTCTAGAACCTGAGTACCCTAATACTCTTGTAAACCCTAATACTCTTTGGAGTGGTAAATGCCTCCACCCCTCAGTTCTTTTATTGGCTGCTTTAGCACCAAGCGTCTGGGTCGGGGTGGGGGGGGCAGGTGTGGAGACAGGAGGCCAGAGGGACCCAGGAAACATGGCTAGGTCCCTCCAAGGACAGGCAGAAGGGATTCACATACAGGGAGGGACCAGAGCCTGCTGAGGGGAACACGGGATGCATGGACACATCTCAGCTGGACAGTGAACAGGCGTGACCCCTCAAAGCATGCTCAGAGAAGAGGGCTTTGGCCAAATCACCGATCCCCTGTTCACTCTTATAATGGGGAGCAAACCCACGAGGCCATGAAGCCAGGGACAAGAGCCTGGATCCTGGGAGTTCCGATTCCAGCTCTCCTCCCTTGGTCAAGTTTCTGAACCTTGCTGGGTCTCAGTTTCCCCATCTGTAAAATGGGTATTATTTTTTTAACTTTATTTTATTTATTTTTATTTTTTTTAACATCTTTATTGGGGTATAATTGTTTTACAATGGTGTGTTAGTTTCTGCTTTATAACAAAGTGAATCAGTTATACATATACATATGTTCCCATATCTCTTCCCTCTTGCGTCTCCCTCCCTCCCACCCTCCCTATCCCACCCCTCCAGGCAGTCACAAAGCACCGAGCTGATCTCCCTGTGCTATGCGGCTGCTTCCCACTACCTATCTACCTTACATTTGGTAGTGTATATATGTCCATGCCTCTCTCTCGCTTTGTCACAGCTCACCCTTCCCCCTTAAAATGGGTATTATTATACCTGCCTCTTTGGTATCATGATATCTGGATCATAAGACACGTAATAACAATAACTAAATAAAATATAACAAGTACAGGGTATCCATATAATCTGGAAACAGATTATATGAATGCATATGTGTTCTTATTTATTTACTCACCCGTTTTACAGAGTGAAAATGTCCTAGACAACATTGTGTACATTCGTCTCTGTTTCTAGACTTGCTGAACACTCTTTAAATAAATGTAATTTTATACAAGTATAATTTTATATAAATGTATATAAATATAATGAAATAAAATATAGTAATAATATAATAAACTAAAACATACTAATCACTTACACAGTAGGAGGGACCATGTCAAGGACTTGCAGGTATTCTCTATTTTGGTGTTCACAGCAAGCCCTGGAGGTGGATACTATTATTATCCCCATTTTACAGAGGCAGAAACTAAGGTACAGGGAGCTGAAGAGACTTGGCAGGGTCACCCAGGGGATAATTCGAAAAACCAGCTTGAGACCTGGGTCATCTAACCTCAGAGCCTATGCTGTTCTCCACCCCTCTAAACCATCTACCTCTAAAGTGAAGACCGAATAAAAAGGACCAGCAGACAGTTCTGCCGTACAGAGGAGGAGCTTAGGAAATGCAAAGTCCTGTGACTATTGAGCTCCTGGAGGAGAGAAACCAAATCCAACTGGTTAACCACCATATCTGGAATAGTAATGCACAAGATGGAGGTTGACAGTCAATATTAGTGGGAGGGAAGGATTTGCGTATTCATTAGCCAAAGGCTGGTATTCTTGTTTTCAAAAAGAAGTCTCAGATTTCAGAGCCCTTCCTAGGAGCATCCACCTCCTGAGATGTGTGGGGCTGCCCAAACGTAGGCGAGGGCCAGATGCACCCTGCTCTCCCCTCCACTGGCACAGAACCCAGAACCCAGAATACAAGAGGCCCAGGTGGCCACACACCAACCAGGACCAGGAGTGACCTACCTTCCTCGGCGTCGTTCCTAAGCGAGGCCTCCAGCAGGGCCACGCTGGCCTCAAAGGACACCTTCTTTCGCCGGCCGCCCGTGCTGCGCTTCCGTTCATGCTTGCGCTTGCGATGCTGCAGGTCCTGCTCATACTGCGCCCACTTCTTCAGCTGCTGGGCCCGGCGCTTCTGGGCGGCGCGCAGCCGCTCCAACGTGGGCACCTTCTCCAGCAGCTGCAGCTCGGTCAGCAGGTCCACGTGGCTGGCCATGGCCTCCCAGCCTCCCCGCGCCCTGGCTGGAGGCTAGCACAGCGTGCCGGGGGCCGGGGCAGCATGGGGGCTCCTGAGGGACTGGGGCCGCATGCTGGAGCCTGTGGCGGGGAAGGGAAGAGACACACATGGACATGCTTGTCAGGCTCAAAACTCCGATCTGATGATGTCACCCGGCCCCATGTTCCAAACGCTTTTTTTCCCTCTATTTTATTATTATTTTTTTTTTTTTATGTATTATTATTTTTTTTTGCGGTACGCGGGCCTCTCACTGTTGTGGCCTCTCCCGTTGCGGAGCACAGGCTCCGGACGTGCAGGCCCAACGGCCATAGTTCACGGGCCTAGCCGCTCCGCGCCCGTGTCCCCTGCATCGGCAGGCGGACTCTCAACCACTGCGCCACCAGGGGAGCCCCTTTTTTTTTTAAATTGAGATATAAATGACCTATGACATTGTGTAAGTTTCAAGTGTACACATGTTGATTTGATATACTGCAATATGATTACCACTGTTAGCTAACACCTCCATCACGGTCACATAACAATCCTTACTTTCGAGTGGTCATATTGTAATTTCATATAAGGTTGTTCTATTGTTATAACACATACGGGTTTATTTTTATAACATAGAAGGGGTGTATTGTTAGTTTTAAAGGAATAAGGATTATATTTTAAATGTCTCTGTATTAATTACAAAATAGGTTAATACTGACAGATATAATCTACATAAATGAAAACTCGTTGGGAACCTTAATCTTAAGAGTATAAAGGGGTCCTAAGACCCACAAATAGCTGCTGAACTATTGGGACCTAGAAAACCATAGTTGAAGTTTTCCTCTTTGGATGACTGTTTTTAAAAAATTCACACCTCTTGTTCTCATCAGTTCTTGGGCGACATGAGATCAACAAAATTTCAGTGTGAAGCCAAGTGGGTGCTGTCTTCCTGTAAGCGCAGACCCTATGGGCTCTCAGATGCAGAAGGAAAAGGTCTTGGAACAACTTGAGCCTTTCTAAGCCTGTTTTCCCACCTGTTAAATTTTGTATCCACCTCCCAGAATTTACAGGATGTTCAAGAAAGAAAGAGCTGACCAAAAAAGTTATACCAAAGGGAAACAAGTTATAGCAAAGAGAAACAGCTTGGAGGAAGAAAAGCAGGGACATGTAAACGCAGCACATCTGGGAACCCATGGGGGCAAGGCTGGTGGAAGATTGCAGGATGCTGGGTACAGGTCTACATTCATGTGCTGTGGAAATGCTCACTATCATAAAGGGGATCAGCATAGCACTGGGCTTCAGCAAGTGATCGTTAATCTCCTGGGTTCCCTGCTTCACTCTGGAGCTGCTGGTCCTCAGGAGGCTAAAGACCAGAATTCAGCCTTCGGCTGGACCCTCAGGAGCTCAGAATGTTCTTCAAGTCTCTCCCTGAAGAGACTGGAGCATACACAGGAGGAATGGGGAAGGGGTTGGCTTGGCAATATTCAGAGGGCAAAGGCTCCTGGGGTCTGAGTGGACCTGATCTCAAGGATAAACATAAGCCAGGGACTTCCCTGGTGGCACAGTGGTTAAGAATCCACCCGCCAATGCAGGAGACACGGGTTCGAGCCCTGGTCCAGGAAGATCCCACACGCCACGGAGCAACTAAGCCCATGCGCCACACCTACTGAGCCCGCACTCCACAACTACTGAAGCCCTCGCGCCTGGAGCCTGAGCTCCACAACAAGAGAAGCCACTGCAATGAGAAGCCCACACACTGCAGCGAAGAGTAGCCCCCGTGTAGCAGTGAAGACCCAATGCAGCCAAAAATAAATAAGTAAATAAATTTATTTTTTTTAAAAAAAGGATAAACATAAGACAATGGCAAGGCTCAGCA